ATTTTTTTTAAGTTCCTGTTTCATCACATTGTTGTGAATATTAAAAGAAGTAATGGAAAATTGCTTAACTCAATGCCTCACATACAGTACGCCTTAGTCAAGTTAGCTTTTATTATCTTTCTATATTAACTAGATATGACTATCCCTTTGTTGAACAAGTATTCTTAATGGCTAAAGGGGAATAGATGTTCTTCAGTTGTTACAATAAGGACTCTGGAGAACATCATTGCCATTTAGTTAGAAAGATGATCCCATAAGTGTTATTTTCTTATCAAGCAGCTAATTACTAGCAACTTTAGATTAAGAAGAGTGGTATTGTCTTTATCTTGCTTTTTTTATTAGTACAGAGTTTAAGTCCTTTTGGGCTTCTGATTAACTTAGGCATCTGTTGTCACCTATGAATGGTTCCATAGAACTTACTTTATAAGGTCCTCTTTGTGGGTTAGTCTCTCAAGAACTTGCCAGTTCAGGAAGATTTTCACCTACTATTCTAAATTCATAGAGACCAACTCTATGTCATTTGAATCTTCAGGCATCTGTTTCAGAAAGACTCATATATTGAATCTCTTGCTCTTCCAACAAGCTATACTAAAACTTTTAACCTTACATTAAAGTTCATGTTATTAAACTTACATAAAACTTTTCATATTTAAATAAAGCATTTAAATTGCAAATTCAATTTAATCCACCTACAGCCTATTGGTTGTGAATTTTTCACTTCCTTATTTTTAGCTTTCATGCTTTGGTGTTGTCATCTGCACTTTGATAGCACTTATATATTTTTGACTTTTTTAAATGATAATAGGGAAATTTTATAATCAACCACACTATCATTCCTGGTTCCCTTTGTGATCAATAATATATGCCACTTTTGAAGTAACTGGGGAGTCTTTTACTGGGGGCACAGAATAAAAGTGATTGGTTTTTACCCTCCAAAGTATGTCTGCCATAACTCTCTGGAAGTCTGTATTGCACCTAATAACTCAGTCTCAGCAAGATTTGCTGTGACTTTTGTTTGATCACAAAATTTTATTGATATTTGTATAAATGATTCAAACAATCATTAACTATATACCATGCATGAGTTTGATTCCTGGTCCTTCTTATACAGCTTTGGGTTAACCAGGGGCCCTCTTCCACCAACTCCCCTTATGAAAACACTACATAATTCTAAAGAATACTTTTAGGTATACTTTAAAGCATTAGTAACAAATTTAAGAACAATATTACAGAACTCCAAAACCAGAAAGCTAGTTCTTAAGCTAGTGTTAGTCAAACAGAAATTATCTCTCTCACAAAAAGAATGAAGTAAGCTGGGTTGTTTTCAGCTCTTAATAAATATACTCCTGGGACCTCCCTGGTGGCACAGCAAGTTAAAGTGCAGCACTGCAAGTGAGCCACAGCTGCTGCGGTGCAAGTTCAATCCTCTGCTCTGGAGGTGACCCACGTGGCCTGGCAGATCTCTCCTGTCTCACCCGCTGCTCCCCTCAGCAGTGTACATAGTCAGTCTGCCTGTTCTGCTCCCCACTCTGTCTCTGTACATAGTCAGTCTGCCTATTCTGCTCCCCACTCTGTCTCTGGTGAATCCTCTCACAGCTTCTAGCCTGTATCTCAGTACTGTATGAATAAATAAATAAATCTTTTTTAAAATAATAAATAAATAAATATACTCCTTTTGTAGATGTAGAAGCCACTCTATTTACTGGAAGCCAGAGTGTCCACAGCTTTAACTTTGACTGATGATAGCTAGAATATTTAGCCTTTGTTTTTAAAATGTTTTTATTTAGTAAAGCAGACAGTTGCTGTGTTGGCAGAAGTGTGAATTTGATTTCCTGTCTGTGGTGTACCATGTTCATCCTGTCACTCAGACATTTTGTCTTAAATTGTTCCACAATGTGAGTGAAACAAGGGTAACCCACAGCAAGGTGATGTACATACCACAAATGTAACAAGAGACAAGACTTGTGCAACAGACCACAAGAGAGCAATACTTTACTTAAAGATGAAAACAAAATATCCTGGCTAGCATGCACATTTGTTAAGTGGTGTCTGTGGATTCTTATGATTTTTTTTAAGGATTTATTTATTTATACAGAACTGGGGTACAGGCCAGAGATGCGGAGGGTGAGAGGATTCACCAGGAACAGAGTGGGGAATAGAACAAGCAATCCACGGAAGTACACTGCTGAAGGGAGCAGTGGGTGGGTCAGGAGAGGTCTCCCTCGCCATGTGGATCTCCTCCCTAGCAGGCGGGGATGCGGGGATCAAACTCATGAGGAAGTGGCTCAAGCTTCTTAGTGCAGTGCTTTAACCCGCTGCACCACCAGGGAGGGCCCACTTATGATTGTTTTTAAGACATTTCCATTTTATTTGACAATTCACCCCTGAGGTTTATCAACTTCATGCTTCTTGATTAAGTGATTAAGTTGAGTCAAAGACCAACATTATAGAGGTGGTTTAATTTTAATGATTTATTTTTGTTCACCAATTTCTCAAATATTTGTATTTTACAGTACATTAATCCAAATTATGTAACAGTTGTTTTTCACATGTGAAATCACAGAATTTCTCTTTTCCTGCCTTAAGTTATAATTCCTGTTGTAGTGATGTGACTGCTACAAAACTGTAGAAAACCCCCTAGCATGGAGTGATGCAAGCATCAAATATCTGTTGAGTACCTGATAATACTCTTGGCACTATTTTCAGTGTTGATGATACAGTGATAAGCAAAATAAATCCCTTGTGCTTATGGAACTATATTTAGGCAGAAGTAATTATAATCAAGTATATTAGTGAATAGGTATAATTTTTGAATATCATAAATTTCCTGAAGAAAGCAAAACCTGAATAGGACAGGGTATGATTAAAATGGACGAAAACGGGGTGATACCTAAGCTGTTCTTTAAATGGCATCAAGTCAGGAAAAGAAAATCCCAGGTAAGAAAAAAAAGTCACAAAGACCTTGAGAAAGGGACCTGAGACTTGGAAGAAATAATAAGTACAGTGCAACTAGGTCATAGTAAACAAAAAGGGAAGAAAGTACAAGATTAGAGATGTAGCGTATTATCAGATGTTACAGGTTCTTGAGGTTCAAGTAAAAGACGTTAGCTTTTCTTTACAAGTATAAAATGACTTACCATTGGGGATTTTCAGGAAGGGAAGTGATATTATAGCATATCAAGTGTATTTCTTAAATTATTCTGGCCTTAGTATAGAAGTATTTGCAGACAGTTAAAGAACTTTTTGCTGATAAAATGTCTGGAATTTGTTTCACTTCAAAGACAAGGAGTAAGGCTATAGAAAAACTAAGACTGAATTAAAGCTGAAAGTATGGTAACATGGAAATTCATTATTATTATTCCCTCTACTTTTGTATGTGTTTGAAATTTTCTGTAATAACAAACTTTAAAAAAGCTTTTCAGTAGTGGTCTCAGTAAAAATGAGGGTGTCATGGTTCATTGTCAGAGCAGTAATAGAGATAAGTGGACCTATTCAAGCTATATTTAAAAATAAAATTCATAGATCTTGCTGATGGATTAAATACATATTTTGAGGAGAGAAAAAGAGAAACCAAAGTTTGACTCTTCATGTGTTAGACCCAAACAATTGGGTGGAATAGGCTAAAGATCAGACTTGCAGAAGAACTCAAAAGGCCAGTTTTGATGATATAAACTTAAGATTCCAGTTAGATTTCTAGTAGTGAGTATAGAGTGTTACAATACATTAGCTAACCCTGAATAGCATACTATTTACAAAAAATCTGGAATGCACTTTCATGTGTTTCTAAACTTTGCTGTTAGTATTTAAAACTTCTATCCTTTTCAAATTCTGTACATAAGATTGAATTAGTATGTTAAAATATGAAATAACAGATATATTTTGTTTTCCACTAATAAATAATATGCATCCACTAAATAATATGGGTTTTTTGTTTTAATAATATGTTGTTGTTTTTTTGTTTTCCACTAATAATGTGCATCCACTAATCATTGTAATTCAAATACCTTTTCCTTTGTAGTAATTCTCTAATTTAGTTAAACTGTCGTCCACATGGTGGATGTTGTTAACATGAAGGGCATACTCCTATGGGTTAAACACACTGAAGTATTCTACTCCTTTTCAGTGTATATGGCAATACCAGTTGATGAAAGTAAACCTTTGAGTAACACTTCAGTGTAGGGTGCATGGATTTTAAACACATCTTTTTGCATACTTTGAATTTATTGTTAGTAACTAAGTATTAATATATATTTGTATCTGATTAGAATGCTACTGAAACACTGTTATTGATAACTATACATGTAATCATTATAACTAATATTTACTAAGGACTTAATATATGCTAAACACTATTCTGAGAAGATATATTCCGATTAACTCCCTTCAGTAACCTCATTTTATTACCCCGTATTACAGATAAAGAAAATATTTTTGTGTGTAGAAGAACTGGAGTATAGGCCAGAAGTACATGGGATGAGAGGATTCATCACAAACAGAATGGGAAGCAAAACAGGAAGACTGACCGAAATACAATGCTAAGGGGAGCAGCAGGCAAGACAGGAGAGATCTGCTGTGTCATAGTGGATTACCTCCCAGACTAGGGATAGAACTCCGGCTGTAGCAATGGTATCACTAAGACTTAATCTGTAGGCCACCAGGGAGGCCCCAGATAAAGAAATTTAGATCCTCCTCCCCAAAAAAAATATTCACCCAGCTAAATAACAGTAAGGATTCAAACCTTAGCAGTCTGGCTCTAGTGCCATTAATCTTCTCTTGTTACCAAAACCTCTCTTCTTAACTGATAACATGTAATGTTTATAGAGTAAGTTTTGCTTCAGGAAAAAAAAAAAGTCTAGAGTAGATGTAAGAACCAGAGCTATTTATACTTTATCCTGTGAAGTTAGAACTTTGGAAGAGGGAGGGGAGAATAACTTTAAACTGAGTGTCCATATTATTTTTTTATTTCCTTGTTAATAATTTTAATGTGTTTTCCCTTTTAGCATCAGTGAGAGCTTTCTTACTGTCAAAGGTGCTGCCCTTTTTCTTCCACGGGGAAATGGCTCATCCACACCAAGAATCAGCCATAGACGCAACAAGCATGCAGGTAAACCACTACATATACCATTCCTTTCTTGTTTGTTTGGTTTGTTGTTTTGTTTTTTTTTTGCCATTTGTTTTGTTCTAAAAGGTAGACTGTCTTATCTCCATGTCTCCAACAGTTCGCAAATAGTGAAAGAAAGCATTATATTCTGCTAAAATCACTTTTCACATTCAAAAACCATTTTTTCTAGCACTTAATAGAATGTCTTATAATATGTAGTGGATACTGTTAATTTTTGTTGAAATATAAGAAGTTACAAAAATATACTTATAAAATTTTATGGAATTTTTCAAAGTTTTGATAACTCTGAAGGTATTCAGTTGTTTCTTGAGATCCCAGACAAGTTATTTCAACCAACCTAAGATTAAGTTTCTTGTTTCTATCTGCTTTCTAATGATAGTGTGAAGAGAGTGACATGGAATATTACAAAGACAATTCATTGTCACTGTTGTGATAACAGTTATTATATCATATGTTGAATCAACAGTCCTAAAATACCCAAATCTATTTGATTGTACTTGCATTAAAAGCACCAGAAGGTAGAGGGCCCTCCCTGGTGGCGCAGCAGGTTAAAGCACTGTCCTAAGAAGCTGAAGCCACTTCCACATGAGTTCGATCCCCGCCTGCCCCGGAGGTGACCACATGGCGTGGCAGACCTCTCCTGACCCGCCCGCTGCTCCCCTCAGCAGTATACTTTGTTGATCTGCCTGTTCTGCTCCTCACTCTGTATCTGGTGAATCCTCTCACCCTCTGCATCTCTGGCCTGTACCCCAGTTCTGTGAATAAAATAAATAAATCTTTAAAAAAAAAAAAGAAAAAAGAAAAAGAAAAAAGCACCAGAAGGTAGATTCAGAGGACTTCTCTAGAAATGAAAAGTTATCAAATAAATGTTCACCTTGGAATGAGTGCAATATTCTAGTTTTGAAATAACCTGCTAATATTCTGCTCCTAATTCTAATATGTGGGTCTTTTCTTTGCACACCTAAGCAATTCTTGGATGTCAGTTGGGTATTTTACAGTTCAACTCAATTCTGATAGTTACCTGGAGATAGTCTCAGATCTCACTAGTTAAGGACACTACAGTGTTGTCCCTTCCTTCCTCTAATGGGCACCAATTGCCAATTATCACCCTTGCTTCTGACATTCTTGATATATATGGGAGGTTCCAAGGATCTCCTCCTTCAGTTTGACTAATTTACTAGAGCAGCTCACAGAACTCAGAGAAACTTACAGTTTATTGTAAAATTATATAACTTAGAAATAGCCAAACAGAAGAGGTGCATGGGGCAAGAGCGGGGAAGGTCCTTAACTCTTCTATGCCCTCCTTTAATGCTTCCCAGAGCTCTACGGGTCCCCTAACCTAAAAGCTCTCTAAAACCCTTCCTTCTTGGTTTAGGTGTCTGGGAAGGTCCCTGACTTTTCTATGCCTCTTCCCAGAGCTCCATGGGTCCACTAACCTAAAAGCTTTCTAAAACCCTTCCTTCTTGGTATTTGTAAAAATTTCATTACATAATCACGCTTGACTAAATTTTTTGACTGCTGCTGATGGGTTCAACCCTCAGTTCTCCTCCTCCTCAGAATTCAGTGGGAATGGCACTGAAAATCCTAACCTTCTAATCAATTACTTAAGAAATTCCCAGACTTTAGGAGTTCTGTGCCAGGAATAGAAGGAAAAGTAAATATACATTTCTTACTATAAATCACAGTATTGTACCCACCAACAGTGCCTTTATATGTCCAAATAATGGATTTCTCTAAAGTCAGATGTACTTGTATTGATCAGGTTAAGAAAGGCAGAATTGGGCCCTCCTGGTTGCACAGTGGGTTAAAGTACAGTACTATGAAGCTAGAAGCAGCCACTTCATTTTCAGCAGAAGTTCAGTCTCCAGCCAGGGAGGTGACCCCCATGGCGCAGCAGACCTCTCCTGTCTCACTTACTGCTCCCCTCGGTCTGATTGTTATCTCTGCTCTATCTCTGGTGAATCCTCTCACCACCACCCCAAAGCATCTCTGGCCTGTACGCCAGTTCTGTAACATAAGTAAATCTAAAAAAAAAAGAATCACAGAAACTGTGTGAGGGAAAGAAGTTTCTGAGAATAGAATTCCGTGGTTTTGAGGGATTAACAGAATTATTCCTTTCTTCTAAGAGCAAGCTTTGTTGGGTTGGGGAATGAAAGTCAACTTGAGGACAGTGATTGGAGAGCTCCTGATCAGTACAATACAGACATGGTTGTTTGTTAGCATAAATGTACCACTTTCAGCCCTCCCTGGTGGCGCAGTGAGTTGAAGCACAGCACTAAGAAGCTTAAGTCACTTCAGCATGAGTTCGATCCCAGCCTTCCCTGGAGGAGATCCACATGGCGAGGCAGACCTCTCCTGGCCCACCCGCTGCTCCCCTCAGCAGTATACCTCATTGATCTGCCTGTTCTGCTCCCCAATCTGTCTATGGTGAATCCTCTCACCCTCTGCATCTCTGGCCTGTACCCCAGTTCTGTGTGAATAACTGAATAAATCTTTTTTTTTTTTTTAAAAAGTGCCACTTTTGTGATATCTTATCTCTTGGAGTAGAAGAAATTGCAGTTACTAGGAAGAGAGCAAAGAAAACTTTGAATGTACAGATTAGAGGTGAAAGCCATTTGGCCAAAAGTTGAATTTAGTCTCCAGTTCATATAATCTCAGCTATTTTAGTGGTTGTCCTACTTTCAACTAGTTGCAAATATAGAGCTCAGAATTATAATCCATCTCATTGCACACTATCATCTTCCTATTAAAAGTCTCTAGCCATGAAAATTTTTGTAACAAGGGGAAAACTAGATTTGGATTTAAAATACTCCTCTTTAATGTCCACCACCAAAAGGAAGGGATGCTTTCCCCCAAATTTGAATGCAAAGAGGAAGTAGATGCAGCTAAACTTTATATTTCTGTTTGGATATTTATGAATTGTAGTCAAGAGAAAACTAAATTATTGGTTTAAATCCAGCTTGCTCAACTAAGATGGTAGGCCAAGTAAGTGTTCTGTGGCTGTTAATCGTAAGTGGAGCCAATGGTTTTTAAAACTTCTTGACTTTCTTAGTCTTATTCTTTCATTAAACTTTCACACTTAGCTGTTATCTAGGTTTTTTAACTTGACCTTGCTCCCCCATACAAATAAATAAATAAATGAATAAATGAATGAATGAATGAATGAATGAATGAATGAATGAATGAATGAATGAATGAATAAATGAATAAGCAAGCTTGATTTGTGGCCCAGACTGGACAGATGAGGAAGTGTGAGTATAAATGCAGCTTAGAGAGCCACTCACACAGTTCACAGAGCTTCAGATAAGCTGAAACTGCCTTGGCTTACCTCACAGTAACATAGATGATGGCAGAACAGAGAGATAAAAGAACTGCTATTTCTAATTATGCTTTCTTGATTTAGATTTTTTTTAAAGATTTACTTATTTATGCATACAGAACTGGGGTACAGGCCAGAGGTGCAGGGGCGGTGAGAGGATTTACCAGAGTCAGAGTGGGGAGCAGAACAGGACGACTGACGAAGTACACTACTGAGAGGAGCAGTGGACAGGTCAGGAGAGGTCTGCTGCGCCATGTGAGTCACCTCCAGGCAGGGATCAAACTTATGCTAAAGTGGCTTTAGCTTCTTAGTGCTGTGCTTTAATCCGCTGCACTACCAGGAAGGGTCAAATTAGATTTTTTTTATAACTTAGACTGTATCTAAAATGTCCAAATACTCTCTTACAGTCAAAAAATGATGAGTAAATGTCTATCAGCATTTTAGAGGAAAAGAGCAAAAAGGTCTTTAAAATCAAAGAAATCTGAAACTTAATGGTTTGTGGTAAAACACATAAGGAATGTAGAGGAAGAATCTTTACTGTTTATTGCCTCTGTTAGAACAGTTTTTCCAGTAGGAAATACCCAATTTGTTCATGTCCACTAATTTGTATTTGTTAACCACTAAACAAAAAAATTTTTTGTGCTCACCTAAGAAGCCTTACTGTAGGAGAAGGGCTCCTTGACTTTTGTCAAGGAGCCCTTCTAAGAAGCCAGTTGGACCAGCTGTGCTTGGAGTGGGACTAAAGCTATTGTTTGCCCATTTCTGGAGGAAGTGATTCTCCTCCGAAAGTTTTCCATCTTGAAAATGCTTTCTGAGGTTATTTCTTCTGATAAAATAAAACTTTTTAAAAAGCCTTAGCTGTTTAATTCAAGTGTAATTTGCAATTCTAGCCACTCTTCATTGTTTAGACATAACACTTTGTCTCCCCACACTGTTAACTTTTAGAAAAATAAATTTGTTGAAATATAATTCACCCACTGCCCATTTAAAGTATGCTGGTGGTTTTAGTATATTCACAAAGTTATGCAACCATCACAATCTAATTTTACATTTTCATCACCCCCAAAATAAACCCAGTACCCATTGTAGTTGTTCCCAATAAACCCCACCTTCCCTCCCAGCTTTTAAACAACCAAATTTCTGTCTGTAGATTTGTGTTTCGTATAAATGATTTTTGAAACAGGCTCCTCTCACTTAGCATATTGCTTTAAAAGTGGCTCATGCAAAAAAAAAAAAAGTAGCTCATGCTACAGTATATATCAGTACTATCTTCCTTTTCATGACCAAATACATTTCACTGTGTGAATATATTGCATTTTATTTATCTATAGACATTTAGGTTATACCTTTTTTTCTGAATGTTTGACTAATGCTCTGAACATTTGTGTACAAGTGTTTGTATGGATAATGTTTTTATTTCTCTTGATTTTATACCATTGAGTTCATACTGTTACATGAGACTTAAGATTATCCCTGTACATTTGAAATATAATAGAATGGATCCTTTTAATTTTGAAAGTTGAAATATTCTGCAATAATGGAATTCATCTAAAGCTAGTAGTGAAAAGGGAAAAAATATTTAAAAAAGAAGGTAAGGAAAGTTTTTCAGACTTGCTGACCTTTAGACAAACATGCCCATCCTCCAACCTACCTTTTTTTTCCCTGCCCTCTCTCAACCTATTGTGCATGTCAGTATTTCATCTCATAATTAACAGTTATGAAATTACTTAGAAAAATATTATAATATAGACCCTAAGACCAATATAAGAACAGGTTACATTGACATCCACAATTAGGTGGCTTTGTCAGTCACTTTATAACTGTGCATTATCTAATAGCAAAAGTTTTTAAATTTCAAGTACAGAATAAGGGACATGAGGGAATGTGTAATAGTTTTATACCCAAAAAATTCAAATTAATTTTATAGAATATATAAGAACAAGTGAGCACTCGAATAATGGTTTACTATTTTAAAACAGCTAACAATGTGTTCAGTAAAAATATATATGTTTCGGCCCTCCGTGGTGGCACAGCGGGTTAAAGCACAGCACTAAGAATCTACAGCCGCTTCCGTATGAGTTCGATCCCCGCCTGCCCCGGAGGAGATCCACATGGCGCAGCAGACCTCTCCTGACCCGCCCACTGCTCCCCTTAGCAGTGTACTTTGTTGATCTGCCTGTTCTGCTCCCCACTCTGTCTCTGGTGAAGCCAATCGCCGCCCCTGAGCCTCTGGCCTGTACCCCAGTTCTGTGTGCACAAATAAATCTTAAAAAAAAAAAACATGATTTCTTAGAATATGTACTTAGTAAGTACTCTCATTTTAATATTAACCACTAATGTGGAAGTCATTTAAAGAAAATGTTGATGTTATTCTAGGGGCATCTCAAAAATTTTAGGTTAAAGAGAGCTATAGGTTATAATTACAGAAATGAGAATGACAGAATAGCTAGCTTTTTTAAAGTTAGGGATGGATCTAACAGTATGCAGAACATACCCCTTTTTTTAAATTAATTTATTTTATTATTTATTTATTTATACATACAGAACTGGGGTACAGGCCAGAGGTACAGGGGTGGTGAGAGGACTCACAAGAGACAGAGTGGGGAGCAGAACAAGGAACACTGCTGAGGGGAGCAGCAGGCGGGTCAGGAGAGGTCTGCTATGCCATGTGGATCACCTCTGGAGGCAGGGATTGAACTCATGTTGAAATGGTTTTAGCTTCTTAGTTCTGTGCTTTAACCCACTGTGCCACCAGCGAGGGCCCACATACCCCATTTTTAAAATTCCCTCACTGCTAACTACTTTCATTGTCCTTCCAGTGAACCTAAAAGCCCATCCAGTGCTTTTTACCCAGCAGATCTCACCATCACTGTCATTAATATCCATCATGGTATAAAACTAAGAAAATGTACCTTTCATAGGACAAATGCAAAACAGAATTTTAATGTCATTTAGACTGAATGTGAATATATAGAGATGCAAGGTATCATTGTGTCCACTAAAAAAGAAATCAATAATCATATTAAGATACTCAATTTCTTTTCTATCTTTTTAAAAAAGATTTTATTTATTTATACATACAAAAACTGGAGTATATGGGCCCTAGGCATGGGAGGTGAGAGAATTCACCAGAGACAGAGTGGGGAACAGGACAGACAGATATACTAAAATATACTGCTAAAGAGAACAGCAGGTAAGACAGGAGAGGTCCACTGCGCCATATAGGTCACCCCCTGGCCAGGGATCAAACTTGTGCTGTAGTGGCTGCAGGTAGTTTGACAGGGTGAGATTTACCTTGCACCACCAGGAATTCCTGTGTCTACTTAGAGGCCTTCTGTGCTAAGACTTTCTTTTATAAAAGTCTTTAGGATAGAGGAAATCCTTTGTGTTGGTCATATAAAGAACAGTTACCCTTTATTTCATAAATTTCACCAGGTGATCTTCAACAGCATCTCCAAGCAATGTTCATATTACTCCGTCCAGAAGACAACATCAGACTGGTAAGTTTGTGCTGTCATAATGCTCTTTCTAAAAAGACTGTCTAAGGAGGAAAACACTAAACAGACATTTTTATGTTCTAACAGTGCTAAAAGCTGTGGAACAAAAAAAAAAAAAAAACATATTCCCATCATCAAGTAGCTTACGATATAATTGGGTAGTTGAATTTACATAAGGTGGTATGAAATAATTTGATGGTTCAGGACTTTTGGTAAGCTCCAGTTTACAAGCTATAAACTATAACAATTGAAATTCAGGGGAAAAAACTTACATAGTTGGGGAAGGTTTTATATAGACAGTGAAACTGAGCTGGTTCTTGAAAGAGGATAATATTTAGATTGGCAGAAAGAGAAAAAAAACAGCCATTTTAAGTGGTTAGAGCAAAAGAACATATATAAGAAAGGACGAGGAGAGAGGTAAATGGCCAAGGATTTATGCCGGTCTCAAAATCAGGAGACTTGGCTGAAGGTTTTTATTAATCATGTAACTTGAACATATTACTTAGCCTATCATCAGCCTTTTCTTCATCTCCTTTCTACAATTCACATTTGAGAAGATGAAATGGACAGGATAGCATATTAGAGAATATAAAATATTGTCTGAATATGGGAACATTATTACTATAGGGAAGATAAGAGACCAGAAAGCAAGGTAAGCAAATAGAGACTTAATTCTATAAACTAGAGGTCTCAAAATGCATAGACATAGGGCAGACATATGCTTTATTGTAACTGGGTTTTTAAAAATCTGAGCCAAAATTTTAAAGTTGGGTGATTTCACATAAAAATCCAGACTTGGGAGTTGTCTCCAAAAATTAAAAAATGGCAACCTGGAACCTTATTCTCACATGGCAAAACTTGCCTGAACTTGGGAGGGGGCAGGAGATTGTTGTGGCATAGGTTCTTAACTTAACAGAATGCCCACTTATCCTTTTATGTCTGCTGGACACTAAAGCCAAATGTCACCATCTATCATCATTCCTTCACTGTTAGTGTTGTTATAGTAGAACCTCTAATAAAAATAAGAAACTTCCACAAAGAAACATTTCTTTGTGCAAAGTGAAAAGTGTTCCTGTTCATTCAGTATTAATGTGGCCTAGTTCACTCATTTACATTCCCCATTTGACCTTCTAGGTTAATACCTGGAGGTAGTACCTCTGCTTCTTCATAAGCCGTTACAGGTTTTTGAGGGAAGAGATTACAAGGGCTGTGGCATTAAGATTCCTCAGAAGCTAACACAGAATTGAGGAGAGGAGGGAGACAGCCATGCCAGCTGGTATTTATTAACAATAAAACAGGTGTGTGACAATGAGCCCTTCTGGGTTAGGGTGGTAACCCTGTGGTTACCAAACTATGTTAACTTGTACATACTACATGTTTAATTGATGTTTATCATTTCCAAAAACTGTGTGGTTTGGGAGAGCCAAAGCTGAGGTGTATCATTCATTTTATCTTTTTGTCATTGAGAACCTGCTGGAATTTGGACTGCACCTCTAAATATTGAGATAATTTTAACCACAAGAGTCTTGGTAAAACATTAAGGAACCAGTGAGGAAGGCAGAGTTGGCAATTAAATTTTTTCCCTCCTGGGCCCTCCCTGGTGGCGCAGCGGGTTAAAGCACAGCACTAAGAATCTACAGCCGCTTCTGCATGAGTTTGATTCCCGCCTGCCCCGGAGGTGACCACATGGCATGGCAGACCTCTCCTGACCCACCCACTGCTCCCCTCAGCAGTGTATTTCATCGATCTGCCTGTTCTGTTCCCGGCTCTGTCTCTGGTGAAGCCTCTCACCGCCCCTGAGCCTCTGGCCTGTACCCCAGTTCTGTATGCACAAATAAATAAATCTTAAAAAAAAAATTTTTTTCCTTTTTCCCTCCTAAATATGGCTGGAACTCCTTTACATTTCTAAAATATAAATTCAGGAAATGTAACTCACGCCTCTGGATTAATTCACAGTTCAAATGACTAGCCATTTTACAGTTGTTTTGAATTGTTATAAACACATAGTCATTGTGTTTCAGATTATTGAGTGAGTCATCTTCAAGAAAATGAGTGAATACATTGTATGAGTTTGGACAAATTAGCACTTTTCTAAATGAAAGGAGCATTTGTAGATGCAAAGCAAAGCCTTTTGTTTTGAGTTAAATTTGGAATGCTTAAACTCTCATCTTGGGATTTATGCATAAGGTTAAAAGTTTGACAGTCAACTGAAAGTCCTTCCTTTATATTTTTAATAACCCAGCCATAGAGACTTCAAATCCCACATCTTGTTTTAGCATTGAAAACAGGACAAAATCAGTTTTGCCTCCAGGGGCGTTCAGGCATTAACTTTTGTACTTCAGAAAACAGTAGCTGGAAAAAAGACAGTGACTTTATACTACTCTCTTGCACATTATTAAAGACCCATTTAGTTAAAAAAAAAGATGGAAATTTTCAACTTTCCTAATATTTGAAGTAATGTCTTTATTTTGAAGCCATGGTCTTAATTGATAAAGTTTTTTTGTTTGTTTTTTTAGTACTTTGCAGAAGAATGTGAGAAAATTAGGTTTTTATTTTTGCTTTTATGACTTTTTCCCAAAATGAAAATTTTTTTAAGAATAAATATACTTTTTAAAAATCAGACAGTATAGAAAAAGTATAAATAAGAAAGTAAAATCACTTCATATTCTACAATCTGAAAAAATTGCTAGCAATTAATGTAAGTTTCCTTCCAGTCTATTTATGTGTGTGCATGTATACATAAAAATATGTATTAGAGCACTTTTTTACATAGATGAGATAAAAACAAATACTACCTTATAATCTGCTTTCTTTACATTTTATCATAAATATATTTCCATGTCATTAGATAAATTTATTTTTTTAATATTTATTTATTTATGCATACAGAACTGGGGTACAGGTGAGAGGTGCAGGGAAAGTGAGAGGATTCACTAGAGACAGAGTGGAGAGCAGAACAGGCATATCAATGAAGTATACTGCTGAGGGGAGCAGCGGGCAGGTCAGGAGATGTCTGCCTTGTTATATGGGTCACCTCTGGGGCCAGGGATTGAACTCGCACAGCACACGGAAGAGGCTGTGGCCCACCTGCAGTGCTGCACTTTAACCTGATGGCCACCAGGGAGGGCCTAGATAAGTGTATTTTTAATGGTTAACCATAATATAAATCATAGATTTTTTTTTTATTTAAGAATTTCTTACAGATTGATTATAAAATTAAAACCTAGAAACTTCCTCAATTTCCATTTCTCTTGAAGGCTGTTCTTTATTAATGTCATATTTGAAGTCTATTTTAATTTTAGATATTGACTTTTCTTTGTTCTTTTGGCTAGAATTTAATATTTACATACTTTGATACCTCTCTCTCTGGTGGATTTGGGTGAGTTGTTTGTCTAGACATTGGGACTTTACAGTGTGTCTTCAGTGAAAACATTGCATGCAGAAGCATGATGTAAAACTCTTGATAAAAGAAATTAAAGGCAAAGGTTAAACTTCAAGAGGAAAATTTCCTGATGTTAGATGATGCTGATAGAGAAACTTACCATGCCAGATAGCATTTGTGAACTGCTTATAATCAGCCTACACATTTAAGCTGGTTACTGAAAAAAGTTTTAACACCATCCTTTGATAAAATGAGCTTCAAAAATAGGTTGGGTTATCTCTCAGAAATAATGCAGAGACTGGAGGTAACTTCTCACACCTATCTTAATTCTAGGATTGCTGTGTCCAGTTTACCTAACACTTGGAATAGGATTCCAAATTTAGTTGATAAATTGGAGTAATTATTTGCTGTGAAGTTTTAAGTCCAGAATACCATTGCTGTGTGTTTATGGACAGTAAGCTTCAGTAGTATCCTTCTCAGTGAGAACTTCAATTAATATTCATCTGAATCCGTGTCTTATTCCAGACATCTACTTCATGTGCATTCCGGAGTTGCTGCCAGTTCTAATATTAGGGTATTATATACAGATTGCCATTTTTAAATACACCTCCCCATTGATTTGATGACTTAGCTTATTAGATTTTGTTAATTTTTTCCCCAATAGAGGAATATGAAATAAATATCAAACCAGGGTAGGTATTAAGTTTTTCTTAAATCTGTGTTTCATTCCTAGATATTGAAACGTAAATGTTTAAACAGTGGGTCCTTGCCATGGCATTACAGAATTTTTTCTGTAACAAATAATTCATCCCATCATTCTAAGTAAGATTTTGGTATAGATTAATGTCATGGCTGCTTACCCCTTAGCCCCTATTTAAAGAGCCACTTTCAATTCTTTAGTAAGAATTTAATAATTACTGTAGGTACTATCCAGAGTTTTGACAGTTTAATTAAATCCGAAGACCTCTAAGTGCTATTACATCTCAGGGCTTAAAGTTGAGCTTAAAATCTGAGAAGTGGGGCTCTCCCTGGTGGTGTAATGGGTTAAAGCACAGCTCCATGAAGCTCTCAGCAGCCACTGCAGCACAAATTCGACCCCAGCCAGGGAGCTGACTGACTCACATGGCCTGGCAGACCTCTCCTGACCCGCCCGCTTCTCCCCTCAGCAGTGTATTTCAGTTAATCTGCCTGTTCTGCTCTCCACTCTGTCTCTGGTGAATCATTTCACCCACCCCCACCTCTGGCCTGTACCCCAGTTCTGTATGCATAAATAAATCTTTTTTTTTTTAATTTTTTTAAAAAACCTGAGATGTGCCTCCATCCTAAAACAATGTGAGATGACTGGGACTTTTCCATTTAGATTTGGGGTCTTTTAAGTTTAAATGAAGCACTGCAGGGTCAGATGTTTGATATGTTCTTATTTATAAATACATATGACTCACTTTATAAAACACACTAACTCACTTTACAAAAAGAGACAATGGAATATTACTTGGTGATTAAAAAAGACAAACTTAGGCCATTTGCAACAACATGGATGGAACTGGAAGGGATTATGCTAGCCAAAAATAAATCGGAAGGAAAAAATTAATATTTTTTATTTAATTTAATTATTTTCATTTACAAAAGGTCAGGAAAAAGGCAAAATCTGCATGCTACCATAGATCTGAGGTATACATCAATGGAAGGGAAGGATAGGGGTCAGAACCAGGGAGAGAAGAACACAAAGGCATATGGTGATGGTCACTGGTGATATGGTAGTGGTATAGGGACTATACCAGAGGGGAAAAACCAGTTATTGTACAAAAATTAACAACAATATAAGAAAATAATTTTTTTTAAAAGTAGAGACAATTAATGTTTGTACTGAATATCACAGAAACTTGCTGCCTAGTTGATAAACTTATGTACAGGTACTATTTAAGGAGGTTTTTGGGTTTTTTTTTCCTTTTGCCAGCTTTAGCTTTGCTAGTTAGTTGGGCTTGCTTGGTGTAGGGAGCTGCGGATAAATTGTGAGAATAAATTGTTATTCCTGTGGCCATTTGTATTTAAGCCTCATCAGATATTCTCAAGGCCTTAACATAGGATAAAAGATCCCCTAACATACTCAGCAAACTGAACAGTTAGCTCAGAACAAGCCAAGGCAAGCCCACATCTAGCTATGTAATATCTGAGATCTTTAATACCTGAGTTTGCCTGCATTGGATTTTTTATTAAGTTATTTTGCAGAGTGTTTGTAGATTCAATGCTGCTTCCAGGCCTTCCTTTGTGTGCTCACTTAGTCCCAACCAACTGTATTAGACCTTTGCCATTTAAATATTACGTTTTCTAGCTTCTTTGTAAGTGAACTTTGCCTGAGATTCTCAGTTATGTCACAGAACATTAAGTTAGTAATACAAGTCTACTTTGTGTAATTGAAATCAGAATGGTGGACATTATATTCTTGTTATATCAGCCCTCACTAGCATTAAGCTTTAATGTAACCACTTCTGTTGTTTCTGCTTTCCCAGCACTTCCTGGAGGTATTGGGACAGTGATAGGAAGCCATGGGAGTCTGACCTGCCTTGCTAGATGCTTTGTTGAGCTGTGCAACTCTTTTTCTCTTTGTCTAGCCCCTTTTGGAATAAGGGCAGAGGTTAGGGGAAGGAGACTCCAAAAGAACAGCACTGAAAGAATTTCAAATAGAAATTCCTGACAAATCTCTTCAGCAGGTTGATAGGATTGGAACTCTGTTTCTCTCTGAGATAAAAGAATAGGACAGGTGTTTCATATAGAGGAAAATGCCTCCAGTACACATTTTCCTGGTTTTTTATTAACAGTTCGAGTCCTAGTTGTATACTCTGTGAGAACAGGGACCATCTCTCTCTCTCTCTTCTACCATTGAATCCTCAGCATATGCACTCTGATTGTATACACAATATATCTAAATAAGTTGGTTAGAAAACATTTTATTTCTAAGATTTATAGCTACCTTTAGGGAGTTCTATTAGGAAAATTCCAAAATTATATCTTCATGAACCCAACTTTAATAACCATCAACAATTTGCCAGATTTCTTTCACCTATCGCCATTTTTTCTCTTTGTTGGAACATGTTTCTAAACCACTTTGTTGAATATATTTGATTGCCATACAAAAAGTTTTACATATTCAATATATATAACTTGATGAGTTTGGAATTAAGTATACACTTATGAAACTCTCACATAATCTATGTCATAAACATATCCATTAATTCTAAACGTTTCCTCTAATCCTCTTTGTTAGTTATTATTGTTGTTATTATAAGAACACATAAGATCTACCCTCATCAAATGTTTAATAGGCTTTAACTTTTTAGAGTAGTTTTAGGTTCATAGCAAAATTGAACAGAAGATACAAATTTCCCACATACTGTCTATCCCCCCACTATTATCAAATGTAGGGTTGTACATTTGTTAACCACTGTTGAACTTATGATGACACATCATTATTCAAAGTTCTTAGTTTATATTAAAATTCATGCTGCTTGTTGTACATTCTATATATTTCAAGAAGTATATAATGACATGTATTCACCATTTTAGTATCATGCAGTAGTTCTACTGTCGTAAAGATTCTCTAGGGTCTACCTGTTTATCCCTGGTAACTACTGATCTTTTTTACTGTTTCCATAGTGTTCCTCTTCTATATTGTCTTGTAATTAAAATTACACAGTATGTAGTCTTCAGATTGATTTCGACTTAGAAATATCCATGTTTACTCATGGCTTTTTAGCATTGAATAATATTCCCTGCCTGGATGTACCACAGTTTTATATATTCATCTACTAAACTGAATTTTGTTGGAATATTTTAAAGTGAAACTTTAGATACTACGTATCATCACTTCACTCCAGATACTTAACAAAATGCCTAACCACATGTAATTATCATATTAATAGTATATCCTTAATGTCACCTAAGACCTTATTCAGGTTTCCTGAAGCTACTTTAAACTCTCATTTTTAAAGAAAAAAAGGTCAAGGAAAAAGTCAAAATTAACAAGCTGACAATAAAACTGAGGCATACAGCAAAGGAGGAGGAGAAAGAGGAGTTTTTAACAGAGGAGGGAAGAATACAAGGGAATCTGGGGATGGTTCACAAGTAATATGGTGGAGGGAAGAGTATGGAGACCACAAACGATGTAAGAAAAAACTTAATTAATGAAAATAAGTAAAATTAATCCATCATAAATAAACAATAAGTTAAAGCTTTTTGTTAAAAAATATACACTTCTTGGATTGAAGACCTAGGCATAAGAACAGAAACCATAAAATATCTGGAAGCAAAGATGGGTCAAACATTACATGACATACACTTCAGCGACATCTTTAAAGACAGAGCACCCAAAGCCACAATAGTGAAGGCAAGGATAAATAGATGGGACTACATCAAGTTAAAGAGCTTCTGTACAGCAAAAGAGACATTACAAAAAACAAACAGACAGCCCACAAATTGGGAAAACATTTTCTCACACAAAAGTAGTGATAAAGGACTGATCATAAAAATATATGGAGAACTGACGAAACTCAACAAAAATAGAGTAAACAACCCCATCAAAAAATGGGCAGAAGAGCTAAAAAGACACTTCTCCAAAGAGGAAATGCAGATGGCCAACAAGCATAT